GCGGCAGCCATGTAAATTTAAATGAAGCCGCGATCATTTAAATCGCGGCTTCATTTGCCTTTGCCAAAACAACAAATCTACATGGCTCCGTCGACGGAGCCATGTAGTTTAGACGTACCCTTAGAGACCTGAATTTTGTTCTTAGAACATGGGATAATTTCCCCATGATTCATGCTGATGATTGCAGTGTTAGGGCACATCTACACTACAGGACAAAGTCTAATTAAGATACACAACTTCAGTTACATTAATTTTGTAGCTGAAGTCAAAATAGCTTAACTATCGCTATTTTGGCACTATCTACCCTGCAGGAAGTTGAAAGGAAAAGCACTCTCCCTTTGACTTCCATTAGTCCTCATGAAAGCAGGGTTATTGGCATTGACTGGAGCGCCCCTCTCACTTCATATTAGTGCGTGTTAATTAGACCGCTAGTTCGAACCCTGGTAAATCGACAGCAGCAGCTTTGATTTTTTTTCTCTGTAGTGTAGACATACCCATAGTGCATCATCTTTTTCTTTCACCTTGAACTTGGAAGACCAAAAACTTTGGAAGAACATTTTGTGTGTGTGTGTGCGCGCGCGTGCGTGTGATTGGATAGAGGTTGGGTCTCCTAATCTCTCAATATTCTGAATACCAACATGCAGTTATTAAAAGAGTTTATTTGATTGTGTTTTCTTGAGTTTGCTTAAGTTCTGTTGGGAACAATATAGTTAAAAAACTACTTAGGATTTTAAATTTTCAGGTGGAATATTTTATCATCTCTTTCTGAGTGCAGAGAGACTTCCCATTTTTTTTCTAGCAACTTCTGTTTAGTCAATAAAACATCACCTCTACTGTAGTCTCAGTCAATAAACCTCTTCTCTGTTGCTAATAGTTTCAGTACGTGATCTGTACTATCCCTATCACTTCTCTTCATTCTAATGAATTGGATAGATGGGAAGCTTTTTCTTAAATGGTTCTGGATGAAAACTATCAATATGCAACAGGCTGCTCTTATTCGTATTTTCTGAAGTAATAATCATCTTGTCATGTTTGTGACACCATATATGTAAATAATTTGCTTGAGTTACTATTTGAACAATTTGCAGAATAACTCAACTTGTGCAAATTAATATCTTTCTTTTTTGCTGTAGTAATATTTGCTGCATGGTAAATTCCTCGTGAACATCAATACAATAATAACTAAGGCAACTGAAATTCCTGAATAGCTCTATGCTAACTGACTATGGCAGATTTTTAAAAACCTTTTCCCTGACTATATTGGATCTTTACATAGCTGATATTCCTAAAAGAATAAACATTTCTATGTAAGTAATTCCTTATTTATAGAAAGGCTAGGTTAATATCATACGCTATATAATACATCATACATTTATTCAGTGATTCGTTATGACCTATTTTACTTTGCAGGATCAATACTTCTACTTAAAAAAACCCCAATGCTACATACTAGCATCTGCTTGATATAATAGGAAAGAGACTGAAATCTTATATCAACAACGTATGTTTAATTTGGTGTCAGCTATTGTAAAACATGCCCCAAGACTGACTTCACTGAACTGACTTCCTTTGCATGGAAAAGAAACATAGTCTTCTCTTGCTTTTGATGGACATCTATCACATTACAGTCTTAGACAAAATCCTTGTCTTGGAAACCTGCCCGTAGCATGTAGTGCAATCAACATCGGATGCATCCAAGGACAGAAACTGACCCCCAGTGAAGAAAAAGAGTTTAAATTACCAGGCAAAGGATCCTGGTGTGCACAGAGAGCTGGCAGTTCCACACATTTGTCTTCATTAGGGTTGAACGAGCAATCAAATGCTAACCACATCTCCTGGTTTGTGCCTGTGTGCTTCATATGCAGTAAGTCTAAGTGCCACGGCTGACTTAAGTTGGTGTGGGGGCCAGTTACCTGAATCTTGTATATTGAGCCAATCTCCAACAGTTCATCCTAGGTGACAAAAAGAGAAGTCAAAGACAGTGCCAGATCTAATGTTAGATGTAATCATTTAACCAATCTCAGAAATTAGAAGATTTCAGCAGTTTTATAATTGTTACTTTCAGAGGGAAGGGGTAATGCAATGCGAAATTGATTTGCTAACTGCACAAGCTGAATGATTCTCTAGAGTTTTAAATAGCAGAGAATTGGTGACTTTTCTCATAAGAGTCACTGGGGAAAATTGCATACAGAACAAAATTAGATGCTATAATTCACAGTGATGCAGTGGACTGTTTGCAAACATTATTGATTAGAAAGTGAACAAATGGCTCATCCCAACTTGCTAACAATACAATAAAAAGCTCTAGTATTCTTTAAATATGAGCAACCAGACCATGAATCCCATGGGGGGGAGGTTCCTGCAACATACAAGTGGGGAAGGAGCTGTACTTAATTTTGAATTTTAAAGTCAATTAATCTAACTTGGAGTAGACTATGTAGTTAGGGAAGCACATTAATTCATTTCTTTAAAGGGTTCTTAACATCTTCCATAGCATGGACCACATTTTAGTAAATAGATTGTCCTCTGGAGCCCTTCCCTTCGGATTCATGATTGAACAGATCACCTCAGCTTCCATTAGTGATTACATAACATCCCTGTGGCTATGCTACTGTATGGATAAGTAGCACTAGGAAATGCTTATGTGATTTGTACCTATGATTAAAGGCAATAAATCCTTTGTCCTTTTGAAGGAACAATAGGATAAGCACATTGGGTGTGTCTAGACTACATGCCTCCTTCGACGGAGGCATGTAGATTAGCGAGATCGGAAGGGGGAAATGAAGCCGCTTGCCGATCGGCTGTTTGTCGGCAGATCGGGGCAGTCTGGACACGCTGCTGTCGACAAGGAAGCCTTTGTCGATTGGCGCAAGTAAACCTGGTTTCACGAGGCATACCTGCGCCGATCGACAAAGACTTCCTTGTCGACAGCGGCGCGTCCAGACTGCCCCGATCTGCCGACAAACAGCTGATCGGCAGAGCGGGGCAGCCATTTAAATTTAAATGAAGCCACAATTATTTTAATCACGGCTTCATTTCCCCCTGCCGATCTGGCTAATCTACATGCCTCCGTCAACAGAGGCATGTAGTCTAGACACACCCATTGTCTCTTTTCCTTTTGGTTTCATCACTACTTCCCATCTGTTTCCTCCACTCCCTCTTTGGCTCCCCTTCTTCCCCTTTTTACACAAGGTGCCCTGAGCTAAGGATGTTAAGGACTAGTCAACTATGTGATAAGAAAATGCTTATCAAATAGTCAGTCGACAAGTCAATTCCCCCCCTTGTTGCCTCTATCAGATAGAGGCAGTAAAGGGTAGGGGGGTAGAGAGGGTATTTCAAAGTGGCAGTGCTGCACAAATGCTTATCGAAAGCATGGGTGCTACAGCTTTGAAATGTGGAGGCAGCGTTTCAAATGGGCAATGCTGCACATCTGATCCCGGGCTCAGCTGTGCAGCACTGCCTCTTTCAAATGCCAAGGTGGTGTTTCAAAATGGCAGTACCACGTGGAGCCCAGGGTCAGATGAGGACTTCCCAGCTGATCCCAGGCTCTGTGCAGCATTTCCACGGAACCCAGGATCAGCTGGAAAGTCCCCACCTGATCCCGGGTTCCGCGGAAATGCTGCACAGAGCCTGGGATCAGTTGGGGAGTCCCCAGCTGACCCTGGCTCCACGCGGTATTTCAAATGCCAGCGCAACATGGAGCCTGGGGTCAGTGGGGGACTCTTGTACATTTCAAAGGCGGAAATGCCTATCAACTAGTCGAGCAGTCGATGGAAATTCCATCGACTATTCGACTAGTAAATTAACTGATTTTTAACATCCTTACCCTAAATATGCTGCTCGGTTACCTCATTCTCTTTACCTTGGTTGAGCATCTCTGCTTTCATACCCCTTTTTAGGTAGCAAAGGGTCCCTAGTGGAGACAACTAGACTTGCTCCCCCTTGTTTCTAGCTCCTATCCACAATCTTCAGGTGCCTGTAGAAGCAGTTGGGAGCAAGGAGAAGCAGCAGCAAGTGAAATATGATGTACTTGCTTTCTATTGATCACCAGCAAGTGCTCCATAACCACAGTTTGAGAACTTTTGCTCACTTGCTGTGCTATCCAAATTAGACCAAAATGGCAGTTCTATCAGCCAAAAAGGCAGTTCATTCAATGTGGCACTGTACATTATCTTCATATTATCCATTGAGGAAATCAGAATATAACCCCTTGGCCAAAGCAGTTAACCAATATTTGGGGCCTTCCTGGGTTATTTCCATCAGTAAGAGAAACTGATGATAGATTCAGGTAGAATCTTTGGTAGAAATGCTCTTTATTTCTAAAGAGCGTACACGATGTTCTGCTGCCCTGAGCACCATAGACACAAACATCACAGGACCATTTCCTTGCTCACAGATCCAAGTCAGTCCTGTGCCCAAAAAGAAACTCTCCTTTGGCTTCCTTCTAGGGCTACACTTCCCAGGCCTTTCCTAGCTCTCTGATCTCGACTGTTTGTGGCACCCACAGCTCCACCAATCAATGTCCTAGCCCCACAAGTCTCAGAAAACCCCCTCTTATTGTCCCTGAATTAGCTCTTGCTCAGGTCTTCCCAGAAGTCAAATGCCTTGGCCAATGGTTTATATTGTTTCAGCTATCTCTGAATAAAGGGTTATTCAATTGCTCCCTTTTTTAACCTGAATGAAAGGTGATTAGCATACCTCTGAGCTTCAGTGAGGTCTACGATTACTGACAGATCAAAGACATGCATACTGGCAGCCACCAATACTCTCCAGCATATATAATCTTTATCCATGGTGTCCAATCAGCTCTGAAGCAGTAATCACAATAGTTCTCTCTATAGAGAACTAGCCACACTCAACCGGCCAAATAGCCACTAGACACCACAGATTTATGCTTTTGGTAGTTAGCCCACCAATAAGTTACTTCAAAATGTCCTGCGTTTGACACACAGATTGGGATAAGAAGCATTAGGCTGCTATGGTTAGATGTGTTGAGTGCACCATGGAAAATTGTTAGTACCTATATACATTACAGGGCAGTAGACAAGAATGAAATATTTCAATATTTCAGATTTTTTATATTAAATCTGTAAGAAGTCCTTTATCATCCATCTGATAAAGTGGAGATATTTTTAGTTTTACAACTATAGTGAGTGTGCTGCCTATTTAACAAGATGATGAGAAAGGGCTTGTTGTTGCTGAGGACCAGGTGTGACCTTTCTGGGCAGCTGCGATCCCCAGACAACTGCCTGAAGATAAGGGGGACCCTTGTGACAAGTGAGCTGGTGACTAAGAACCTCAGCCCAGCTTCTCAGTCAGCTGTGCCTAGTCAATAGCAGGTCAAAGAGCTTCAGGAGAGAGGATACCCCTGATCTGACCAGCTGGTTCTAGCCAAAGGGGAAGAAAAGAGACTCTAGTGACCTGTTTACATGGAACAAAGACAAAAAAATAGGAGCAGCTGTTGAGGCCGGTGATGTCTACTGCTCTGCTGGAAGGAGGGGGCTTCTGCATTGGGAAGGGAGAGAAGCCAGAGCCTACCTGGATTCAGGAGAGACTTATACGTATTGCTATGAGAGAGGCCAGGCCTGAGGGAGCTTGGAGTTCCAATGGTGAGTTCAGAGGCTCAATAAGACCTCCTATTTTACCTGGCTGAGAATCACTCCAGTCTAGAGAACAGGGTTGCATTATTCCATCTGGGAGTGAGGACCTCAGGGTCTAAAGTGAGCGGATTCTCTGAGGGCACCCCTGGAAAGAGGTAGACATACTCAAATCTCAGAGAGGTGTGGTTCCAGGAAGCAAAGTAGCTTTCCCTCCGAGAGTAAGTGGACCCCAAGAAGGGCTGTCGCTGAGAAGGGGGTTCCCCCAGAGACCTTCCAGGGCCAAGAGTCCATGACAGCCCACAGTAGAGATTCTTTCCCCTCCTTTATGTCCAAATGTGGAGCTACTCCACTTCTGGGTCTGCTTCATCGGTGTTCATTTTAATTACTGTTCCACTTCCCACTGTGTGCATAACACAGACAGAGCAAAGTGGAGTGTCGGTAAGTGCTATAGGAACAGGAATAGGCCCCCCCTCCCCAATCAGAGAAGAAAGTATAATTCCCAAAAAGAAGTGAGGATGTGGATAACAAGAGGGTCCCTGCTGTGCTGATGTTTTAATTAGTTGGGAAGCAGAGGGTAAGGAGACAGAAAGAGAGGGGGAAAGGGTGAAGAGTGGCACAAGGGAGGAAGGAGTAGGACACTAAGGGGAGAACAAGGAAGTGGTAAAGGGAAAAAAAGAGGAGTAAGCAGATGGGAACAGAAAGCAAAAGACGCAAGGGAGTGGGATGGGTGTGAATACAGGATGAAGAGAGAACACAGTTAGGAAGGAGAAACATAGTAGAAGGGCGGAAGAATTGGATCATGACGTAAAGAAGAAGGGAAAAGGACGTTTTACCCTATCATACTTTGACCCCAGAAAAGTCACCTGGTATTTCTGACTTAAAATATCATTTTTGTAGACAAAGTACCACAATTTCATAAGGGCCTCAAACTGACTTGTGTATCTGTGCCTGCAGTCTGACATGCACAACCCTGTGCACTGGCAAAGCATAGAATGTTCTCATGGAAACACCCAATGTGTGCAAATCAGACAGGATTTGTTAGTGAAAATGCCATTGCATGTGTGCAAATCCTGTCATTTGTAGACAAAAATGACTGTGCACACCAATTCTGACAGGTTTAGAAATCATGTTGGAAACGTGGCCCAATTAAAATATTTTTACAGGAATTAAAAGGCTTATTAAGTACATGATTCCTAGAAGTTTTCTGGCAATACAGAAAGGTTGAATTACTTTGATTTGAGTTGCTTTTCCTGTAATTTGAAGTGCCAACTCTTTGTGATTCAGGTCTCCATAAAAGATGAAAGAAAGGTGTATTGAATCCATTTCAGTGTTGACGTCAGATCCAATGATGTCCATTTTCCACAGACCTGAGGACTGCATGTTGATTTGAGGCAGTTTAGGACTAGAAATCAATCTTTTACCTTTAAAAAATGATCAAACAGAAAGAGGAAAGAAGACAGCATGAGCGGAAGGCATAATATATTAGGACTATAGGCTTTACAGTACACAAACACAGCTGTATTTGCCGGTTATATTGTATCTATGGCAACAGTTCACTAAGAACAACACATCAATACCTTTAATGCATTTTTCCACCAAGAATTTAACCTTAATGTTCTTTTGTGTTTCAAACTTTAGATTTGCAGATTTTTTTCTGTATGTCAAGTTGTTTTTACTATTCTTTTAAGAACTAATTATAAAACATGCAGCCTCCTTCATAACCCTAATTTACTGTTTTGACAGAAATAATCAGTGTCACAATTCACTATCTCATCTATATCACTTATCTCATTAAGAAACAACAGTAGTCTGAAGCATATCAGCACTTGGTATATAGCAAATAACATCAATGAAATTCCCCCTCACAATCATACAGTAAATAAAAGTATGTTGTATAATACTGAGGGGTGAACATTTAAAAAATGTGCTCCAAATCCACATTAGTCAGATCCTCATAAAGCAATGTTAAAAACCCTCTGAATGAGTCCAGGTCTGCTACATTTGGATCTTTAATTTTGGAATCTGTTTAAACAATTCTATGTAAACAACATCCTTTGTGTTTTTAAGCAATCCTATGATGTGATATGATAAATAACAGCACACAGAGAAATCTACCGATAATGGATCTAGCAAACTATATGATGGGTTCTAAGTAAACCTAATATGGGCTCTTTGCTTTTCACTTTTTTTTTAAACTCACTGATTTCACTTGGCAATTCATTTCTGTTGGTGTAACTATCTTCTCAGCATTGTTTTTATAAAGTACAGCGGCCGATTATAGCAGTCTTCTTTCTTCTTATTTTTAAATGAGACTGATGAATTTGATGTTTTGTTTGGAAGTGAGAGGCTGTGCACAGATGAAACTGTGAGCACCTCCCAATACCTTTTTGCCACATGTACCAAGGGTTTGACATGCAGTTCTGCTGCAATGATGGGCTTGAGCCAAGCCAAGTGACAGCAGTACTCAAACAAGCCCACAAATAAGAATTAAGCTGAGACCACTAAACAAACTTTTCCCTAGACTAGAAAGCATCTCCCAACAGGTAGAAAACTAGTGCATTAAAACTCTCCGGTAAGCCACTTATCCCCATGAGGCTGCTTCTCACATTCTAATCCCCCATTAAATCATTAATTGTAACATGCTAAATTAAATTTAGAGGACCAATGCTTTATGCACTGTGTATTATACAGCATTAAATTATATGATCTCTGACCTTACCAGTGTGTGGCCTTGCTATTCTAGTAAAATCATGCTGAAAATTTGTGATGTTTATGGCCAAATAAAGAAACTCTAGCAACTTTAAAGACCTACAGCCAAATTAACATGTGATGTAAGCAGATGGAACTCTCATTGAATTCAGTCTGGTTGCAGAAGGACCTACCTATTGTTGTAATCTCACAAACAGTCTCACATATTCCCAGATGAGTATCAAGCCAGTTCCAACATGGAAAGATCCATTCTTCATCTGAGTCCTCTGATTCCTTGATTGTTATCATCTTGAGATACATTCCAGCCCCATATCCTTCTCCATCATGTCCTACAACTACCTTTTGCAAATGGCTTAGGGAAACGGCCTCTATTAGAAATGAATCTATCTGCAAAAAGGAGAAATATATTGAAAATCAGCAAAAATGGTTTTCTCTTTCAACACATGCACGTGCATGTGCACATACACAAACACAGTGTAAATGCAAAATATAATAACTAGAGATTAATTTAAACCAAAAGCTTGGATCTCAATATGCCAGAACTTAAGGCTAAACTAGCCTATATATCCACTCTGAGAAACCTGCTAACTGGCTGTTCCAGTTTGTTTATTTACCGGTGTCGCAACCACAGAGCCTCATGGCTCCCATTGACTCCGGTTCGCCATTTTCAGCCAAGGGAAGTGGCGAGGGCCAGGCTGCTGCTTCCCGTGGCTCCGCTTGGCTGCAAACACTGAACCGGAGCTAATGGGAGCCATGAGGTTCTGTGGCTGCACAGCCTGTAAATAAACAAACCGGAGTGGTCAGTTAGCTGGTTTCTCAGAGTGGATCAGTGATAAACTCTGACCTAGCTCAAAATCAGGGTGTGAACTTCCTGGCTGGCTTATATCTATAATGGGTAAAAAGGAAATCCCATGTTTGAACAGCAAATTTCTGTTCTCGATTAGATTCCAAACACTTACATCTCAGATCCATCGTTAGTAATAACTGCAGGTTCATTTGATCTTTGGCTCGTGTGGGCCATTCATCAGTCATTTTAAATTATTCTACAATGTGCTTCTGGATACCAAAATATTACAAGAAGCTCTTGGTTCTGACATACTCATTGTGAATTTCTGTCTTTCAATCTATTATGCAAATATGCACTAGTATACCAGAGGGAAGTTAACATTTTAGAAAAAAAACCATGTTCATTGGGAGAGAAGGTTTTCTATGATCCTGAGATCTCTCTTAGAAAGCAGAGATGCCTACATGTTTTCTGTGCAACATGAGAAGAAAGGAGGGAAAAGAAGACTGAAAAGTACAGGAGGGAGAGAGTTGGAGAGAGAGACACACACAAGCAAAGATGAAAGAGAAGAATGGAAAAAATCAAGAAAGAAGAGGAACAGAATGGACAG